ACTGCTAGGAGTTATTCCTGAGTGCAAGAGTCAAGAGTAAGCACTGCTGTGTGTGGCCCAAAAAGCCACCCACCAATATAAATATATATATATATATACATATATATATACATATAAAGGTAAAGGCCCTCCCGTTGATCGTCGATTTGCTCGAGCGGGCCCAGTAACGTCTCCATTGGAGACTTTGTTGTTACTGTGTTTGGCATATCGAATACTCTCGGTAGCTTGCCGGGCTCATATATAAAACGAGAAAGGTCTTGATAAAGTCAAAGCTGGCTGTGTGAGGAGACAACATGGAGACCAATGCATTCCTGGAAGCAAAGTGGGGAGCAGAGAAATACCAGCATCAAGAGTTCATGAAGAGGGGCATGCCTCTGCCTCCCAATCCTATAGGAATGCACAGATCTGGGGAACACTGACCAAGTGGCTGCAATAATGTCTGCCCCATGAAACCTCTACAGGGACGGAGGGAGGGTCCAGGGGATTCCGTGCTACAAATCTACTGTTGGCTTAGTGGGAACTGCCATCAAACATCGAAGCTTTTCAAAATGATTTCATGCTAAAAATTCAGAAAATCAGATGGGGGAAAAATATAGTCCCTGGAGAATGCATCTTACCAAAAAACAAAAACTATTACCCGAAGAAGTGGAAGAAAGGAAAAAAAAAAAGAGTTCTTAATATTTCTGTATCCAATGAATAGATTAAATGGTCATTTAAAATTTCCCCCCAAGAAACAGCCAGGCACAGATGACTCATAAGTGAATTCTTCCAACCGTTTTACAAAGTACAGCACCGGTATTTGCCAAACTCTTCCAGAGCATGGAAAGAGGAAACATCAACACATTTCATTAGGCCAACACACCCATAAACAGGGAAAGAAGACAAAGAATGCTGACCCCCTCTGTGCCGGCCGAGGCACCAACTATGTCCAGAGGAGAACTGTGTGACCACATCGGTGGAGGCAGAAAGAAACATCTGGGGAGTAAAGGCATAACCGCAGCCCACCCCAGCAAACACAGGGAACCTTAATTTAGCAAAGTGTGTCTACAATGTAACACAGCAAATGTTCTGGCCTGTGAGACAGGGAGTTTCCCCTGGATAAGTGCAGTGAGAGGGAGTGAGGAACCCATAAGCACCGAGATGCTGCTCTGACTTTTTTGGTGGGGGCACATTTGGCTCTGCACTCAGGAATCACTCCTGGCAGTACTCAGGATGCTGGGGATCAAACCCAGGTTGGTCACATGCAAAAAAGCAAGCGCCTTACCTGCTGTACTGTAGCTCGAGTCCCTCTACTCTGACTACCCCCAACACCTCCATCCACCAATGTGACCGGAAGGAAAGAGCTGGAAATATCTGCGTAGCAAGAAGCCTCTTTAAAAGCTCCCTAGTGACAGGCCCCAATAGATCCAACCAGCCCGCTCATGCAGTACTATTCACAGAGGCCAAGAGCTGGGCCCACTCGGGTGTGCGAGGCCTCTGTGCTATGCTGCCTACACTGACCGTCCCATGGGGAAAAGCAGCACATGGTCAGGCCAGGCAGAACAGGACGGACTCATGAGAATCGTGAGAATCGACTTCTGACTGCAGGGCCACTGGGTGCGGAAGATGGCCCTAGGCCCACCAGAGGAGCTGGCCGTAAGATGGGTGACAGGCAGCACCAGAACTCAGGCTGCGGGGGGTGAGGGGGACAGGAGGGGGGCTGGCAATGCCAACACCAGAAAAGCAGACTCGAGTAAAGGGGCGGCTGGGGACATGAATGGGGGGCAGGAGAGGAAATGGGCTCCCGGCAGGTGCCCAAGCCCTGGCCTGCTGTGCTTACGGCCCCCAATGTGGGAGATAACTGGCGAAGCTTCTAGTGGAAATAAGGGGGGGGGGGTGCTGGGCAACAGCCATATCTTTCTTTTTTTTTTTTTGTTTTTTTTTATTTATTTATTGAATCACTGTGGGAAAGGTTACAAAGCTTTCAGGTTTATGTCTCAGTCATGTAAATATCAAACACATTTCCCTTTACCAATACTTATTTTTTACCATGAAGAACCCCAATAAAACCCCACCCCCCACCCCTCCCCGTCCCTGTGAGGCAGATGAATTCTAGTTAACACTCTATCTGCTTTGATTAGATTCATTGTTTCAATAAAAGATTCACCACTATTATTTAGAGTTTACCCCCCCCCAAATCAGACATGCTGAAAAAGCATTGTGAAGTGATTTGCTTTCTACGGCTGGGTTCAAGAATTAAATGTTGGTTTTGGATTTCTGCTATTTTACCTATTGACCCTGGAAGTATTTCTACTGAAAGTCAGATAGTTAAGAAATTGGTTTCTGTGTTCTGGAGTCCTGGCCGTGCTGGAGAGCCGCTCGCGGGGGGCAACCGGTGGCCTCGGTAGGGCGTGAAGGGCGGAGCGAAACGCCCCCCTTCCCATGAGGTTTTAGTCGCCCCCACACTCCCGAACAGCCATATCTTTCAAAGGCGCTTCTGTAAGTGTATGTTGCACGGGGGGCCCTAGATTCTACCCCTCCCCACTCTCCAGGGAAGAGCCACCTGTGCTTCTTGGGGAGACCCAGCCGAGACACCCTCGCACACGTGTGTGCGCGGAAGGGCGGCTCTGAGCTGGTTCCTTCTTGTGAGATTTGCTTCAATTTAGGGGTTCAACCCTAACTCACCTGCGACAGTGCCCCAAAGGCCACTGTGGGGTAGATGAGACTGAAAGCTCTGGGAGGGAAAGGAGTTCTGAAAGTTCTTTGGGCAATGAATCCCGACACCATCATCCTCTGAGGGGCTATTTCCCTTGGAAAACAAAGAGGGAGGGGGCGCACATGCAAGAGCAGGTGTCCAGGGTGAGGGTGGCATGCAGGGGTAGAGCCAGGGCTGCAGGTCTTGAAGGGGCTGGGTTGTATAGGGGCATGGTGTGCAGGGCCTGGGTATGCAGAGGTAGGATGTACAGGGGCAAGGTGTGAAGGGGCAGAGTTTCGAGCTTGGGTGTACAGAGGGAGGTACGTAGGGGCAGGGTATACAGAGATGGGGCGTACAGGGACAGTATTACAGGGGAAGAGTGTGCAGAGGTGGGGTGTAGTGTGGTGGGGTGCGCAGGGCAGTGCATACAGAGATGGGGTGTGCAGGGGCAGAATTACAGGGGCAGAGTGTGCAGGTGTGGGTGTAATGGGGAGAGGTGAGCAGGGGTGGAGTGTGCAGGGGTGGGGTGTACAGGGGTAGGGTATAGAGGGGCGGGGTGTGCAGGGCCTGGGTGTGCAGGGGTGGGAGTACAGGGTGAGGTATGCTGAGGCGGGAGTACAGGGGTGGGATGTGCAGGGGCAGGTGTAGAGGGGTGGGGTGTAGAGGGGTGGGGGGTGCAGGGGCGGAGTATGCAGAGGTGGGGTTTGCAGGGCCTGGGTGTGCAGGGCTGGGGTCGGGGCTGCAGGGCCTGCAGGAGCGGGGGTACACAGGACATGGGGGCTACTGCAGAGCTCACTCCAGCCCCTTACCCAGCCTGCGGGGGCATGAACTGGTTCTGGATCCCCAGGGGGCAGCTGATTGAGCACTGTGCCCCGTGAAGGAAGGGCAGGAGGAGGAAAGCGGCCCCCTCCCTCCTGTGGCCTCAGCACCCTGGAAACACTGTTTCCCCTTGTCAGGCCTTTCAGTGCCTACATCCCTCCAGTGAATTCCTCCTGGGCTGCCCCCAGGAGCACCCCCTCTGTCCTAGTACCACATGGGCCAGCACATTGGGAGGGGGTCTGCCTGCTGCGCCCACACTGCCAGGAGCTGCTCAGCGCGTTTTGAAGTTGCTGCCCTAAGACTTCCCCTTCTCTGATTCTCTCCGGGCGTTTCCAGACCCTGCTGACGTCAGGCCACCACCAGATGTTGTTTTGGAATCTGGTCACCATGGCCCCACAGGCAGGCAGCTGGGCCAACTGAGTCAGGCCCAGAAGCAGGGCCGTCTTCCAGGTCAGTGAAGGGAGCTGCATCCTGAGAACCTTAGGGTGGTTACCCCACTTCTCAGGAGAAGAAACTGGGCCCAGAGATGAGGTCTGTCTGGGATCCCAACCCCAGCACTAGGGCAAATGAAACCCGGGCTGCTGAGGCTGCAGCTCTGAGGCTCTCCTGGCACGGTCTATCAAGCCCCTGAACTTCTGAGATTCACAAGAGCTGGGAAAGGCGCAGACATGCCCCCCCCCCACACACACACACACACACGCCAGACCCCAGACATCCCCTGGGTCAGAGCACGCACAACTCCAGAAGCTTCCTCCCCTTATCTCCTCCGGGCCTTTCCTCCTGGCCTGCCAAGCTCCCCAGACTCCACCTTAAGACGTGACAACCCCTGGGACCAGAGCGACGTAGGGCATTTGCATCCCATATGGTTCCCCAAGCACTTCCAGGGTTAATTCCTGATTGTAGAGCCAACAGTAATTCCTGTGCATTGCCGGATGTGCCCCCCCCCCACAATAAAACAAACTAAAAAATACATGCCATGCCTAAGTGACAGGTCAAAGCCCCCCACAACCCAGTTCTTCAGGATTCAGGACCCATATGTGACACGGGGAGGAGTCTGAAGGGAGTCCACCCTCTGAGGCTCCATGTCACATCCGTGTTCCATCACAGGTGTGTGGAAGGAAGGGGCACTGTAGCAGGGGGGTCTGGACTTCCCATCAGTGGCTGAGTGGCAGGTAGTCTGGGGGTCCAGGCTCTTCGGAAACACCCCTTTGCTGAAAGGCTGAATTTCGGGAACCATCAGACAGGACATCCCTGGAATCCGCCCATACCTCCACCCCATCAGGGCCTGACAAGCTCAAGGTGGCTCCAGCCCCCGGGCTTGTGACCAGTCCCCCACCACTCAGTGAGCAGGGCTATGATGACCATCAGGTGCCTTCCTAGAGGAGAGGCCCACGGCTGGCATGAGGCCAACCAACTCCTACCCCTCCCCCATCCCAACCTGAGCCTCTAGGTGCCTCTTGGCGTTGCCCCCCCCTCCCCCCCAGAGGAGATGAGACCTGGGTCTCACCTTTGAGAACAGCCACCTGCAATTCCTGCCCCAGTCACTCCCGCCTGCTGGGGGCTCGGCCGCCTCTGCCGTGTCCGCCAGCTGCTCTGGGCCAGGGCCCTTCTCCTCAGGGCTGTGGCCATCTTCACTGGCCCGGGCACTGCACAGGATCAGCGAGCGGGAGATGGAGCGCAGTGTGGCCGCTGGCCTGCTCCTGCGTGGCCGGCCGTGCGGTTCCATCCGCAGAGCAGAAATGGGGCCGCGCTTCTTCCTGTCCGAGTCCCTGGCACGGGGCGCACAGGGGGAAGCCACCAGCTCCTGGCGCCCTGCAGTGGAGAGGACACAGGAAGGCGCCTTGTGACTTGGTGCCTTGTGACACGCGGAGCCAAGCTGGGCTGTGCCCAGTGAAAGGGGAGGAATGGGCGTTCACCCCTCAGAGCCACCAGTCCTTCTAGCCCCATTGCCATGCGAGGCTACTGCTACCCAGACCCTCAACATTCAGGGAAACTGAGGCACCAAGCAGGGATGTGCCCAGTGCAAGACCACCATACTGCAGGGCATGGCTGACAAAAGTGGGGGTCCCAGGAGACAGACCCTCCCCCACCCCCCAGGTCTGTGTGAAGGAACTCCCAGACACAGAGCGGGTCCAGACTACATGGTCCCTGACGTTCCCACCCTTCCCGCATTCACTGCCCTGTCTGGACCTCTGCTCAGAGAAGAAAATCTGTCCCAGGTGGGCCGCTGACCCCCAGTGCCAATGTGTGGATAGTGATGTCGGGGAGGCCCCATCACACTGCCGCATCCCGGCCACAAGCCTGCTCCTGCTTACGGGTAGCAGTGCCAGCAACCTGGCCAGAGTCCAGATGCCCTCAGACCCAGCTTGTGTGGGGCACGTGTGGAGGGCCGAGGGCCCCATGGGGACACGCTGAGCTGGAGCTGGGGACACTGCCCCGAGGATCAGAGAAGGGGGCCTCCAGGTCCCATTCATGGGAATCCACCTGCAACGTGTCAGCTCCTGGGGGCTCCTAGCACTGGCCATCGGTGCCATACAAGTACGGGGGGGTAGGGACATGCCCCTGCCCCCCATAGTGCCCCTTCCAGACACCGGTCTCAGGTAGTCACTGTGTATTCCCCCACGAGATTCCTGCCCCCCCCCCCACCAGCTGCCCCAAACACACTTGCAATCAGAGCAGGCTCCAGATCTCCACCCATGCATGGCTCCAGAACCTTCCCTGCAAACCTGTGCCTGCCTGGGGGAGGGGCCTTCCATGAGGCCAGCCCTGCCCACTTAAAGGCCCTCTTCTCAGAAACCCCACTCGTCAGGGAACCCTGCTCCTCAGAAACTCCACTCCTCAGGGAACTCCACTCCTCAGAAACGTAGCTCCTTGGGATGACCCCTCTCCTCAGGGAAACCTGCTCCTCAGAAACCCCGCTTCTGAAAAATCCCCTTCCTGGGGCTGGAGCGGTAGCACAGTGGGTAAAGCATTTGCCTTACGTGCAGTTGACCCGGGTTCGATCCCCAGCATCCCATATGGCCCCCTGAGCACCGCCAGGAGTAATTCCTGAGTGCAGAGCCAGGAGTAACCCCTGTGCATTTCCAGGTGTGACCCAAAAAGAAAAAAAACCCCTTCCTCAGGGGACCCCACTCCTCAGAAACCCCACTCCTTGGGGAACTCCATTCCTTATTTTTTTTCTTGCTTTGTGGGTCACACCCAGCGATGCTCAGGGGTTTCTCCTGGCTTTGCACTCAGGAATCACTCCTGGCGGTGCTTGGGGAACCATATGGGATGCCGGGAATCGAACCCGAGTCGGCTGCATGCAAGGCAAACGCCCTACCCACTGTACTATCACTCCAGCCCTGACCCCGTTCCTTGGAGACCATTCTCCTTGTGGACGCCTTCACCAGCCCTGGAGTCACAGGAACCAGATGGGCTGCAACACCTTGGAGCTGATGAGAACCAGGCCCAGTCCTGAGGCCTCCGTGAAAGCACAGAGAGGTTAAGTAGCTGGTCAAAGTCACACAACAAGGGCTTCCCAGATACCCTCCTACCACCTTCTTCCTCCCACTCCCCAAATGTCTGCACCCCCTTTCCTAGTAGCCTGCCTGCCTCCATCTCCCTGCCCCACTTCCTGTCCCGCTCCCATGGGGAGAGCTGTGTGTCCTCATTGTCTGGAAACCAGGGGTGCTGCCTGGATCGTGCACGCATAACAAGGGGCCCCAGGCCACATCCTCCTCCTTGACCTCCATCCACTCTCCACCCCACCCCGCAACTCCCAAACACATTCTATAACTTCTGCAAAATCAGAGTCCACACCCACTGGGCAGCAGAGGGGACAACAGAGGGTGTCAAGGTTAAGGGGTTGGGTCATAACCTTAACAGTCCCTCCCTGACAAACTGCCTGAGCTCCTGTGCACCCAACTCCCACATTCTACTCACACAAACTCACACACACTGATACCTGACACTGTCCTGTCCTGTCCCTGTTGGCCCCTTTGGGACACGCCCAGTGCACCTGATCAGCGGAGAAATGCAACTGTGTGGTGTGTGCCTGTGTGTCCATGCCTGTGTGATATATGTGTATGTTATGATGTGTCTGTGATTGTGTGTGTCTGTGTGATTGTGTGTGTGTGTCTGTGTGTTAGGGAGGGAGGCATTTTTGTGCTTCTGCTGCTGCCAGCACAGGTCCAAAAGACATTGAACAACAGGACTGGCTGGCATTGAGCAGGGTTTCCAGCTGGTGGGGCGAGGATGGCAGAGCTGCTAGGGAGGGTATGTGTGTGTGTGCGTGTTGGGGGGGGGGACACAATTGTGATTGGGAGGGTTGGAAGGGGGCAGAGCGATGGGGAGAGCACAGCCACAGGTGAGCAGGTGAGAAGGGTGATGCCACCAGCTGCTCGGCACGAAGCTCCAGGCGCAGCTCAGAACCCCAGGCCCTTGTGAGGGGTGTGGGAGCATGTGTGCGAGGCACGGAGAGCTGACAGCCCAAGGCCCAAGGATTCTGGACCTTGACTTTTCTCCCTGAGCCTTGCACCAGGCCAGGTCTCCCCTGTAGGCCCAAACGCCTTCCCCCGGCCTCTTTCCTGGCACCCCAAAGTCTGCTCCTGCCCACCTCTGTGGGTTCCTGCCCTGGCCAAGCCCATTCACTCTTGGGCTATTCTCCCAGGCACAGCCATTGGGACCAAGCTCCCCGCAGGATTAGGGAATGGGGAGACTGGGTCAGGGTGCATGAGACGGGGCTGTTGATAGGGTGGGGAGGCTGTGAACTGTGCTGCCCAGGAACTGGGTGGGGGTGGAAAGATGCGAAAGGTGAGGAGGGCCGTGGGGGACAGGCAGTAATTGGGGACAGCAGGTTGCATGGCCCCACTCAGCTCCGGTCCTGGTGCCCAGGACTTTGGAAGCAACAGCGCAGCACTGGGGGCTACATTCTCCAGTTCCAACCCACACATCAGCACAGCAGAACACACACAGGGGCTCTCCCTCTTGCCTGGCCCCTCGGTCCCACCCGGCCCCCGGGGAGCTGTCCACGAGCTGCAGTAGGCCTGAGCACAGGGAAGTCACTGGACTTCCAGCAGTTGGGGGAGGGGGGCCCAGGAACCCTCCCTGGCTGGCCCTAGCTACAGCTGCTCCTTCCCCGAGATGGGGAGGCCAGAAGGGTCCCTAGTGCATGCACACACTGTGTCTGGCTGGTCTGAGAGCCACAGGCATGTGCGTGTCCACCCCAGACTGATCACAGACTCCTCCAGACTCATTTCTTTGCGTGCCTCTATGGGTACACATCTTTTCCAGTTTCCGTGCTCTGTGTACCTTTTGGGGTGACAATAGGGGGAGCTCAGGGAGCCTGGAGCTATTCAGCCAACTGGGCCTGAGGACAGGAATCCCACGGTGCTCAAGGGCCTCTGAGCTGCTCCCAGAAGTGCTAGGGGTAGGTGATGCTGGGAGAAGCAGGCAGTATGGGTGGGCACAGTGCTGGGGGGAGAGGGCGGGACAGGGGGGCAGGCAGTGAAGGTTGAAGGTGATGCCAGAGAGCAGGTGGGTCTGGAGTTCAACCTCAGGCTCTGGCTGCAGTGCATTGCCCCGTCCCAGCCTCCTTGTTTATGACTGTGTCTAGACAAGTCAGAAGTGGCCCCCACTCTCTCGACCCCCAGACCCCTCAATGGCTGAGCCCCTGAGCTTAGCCACAGCAGCCCAGCGCCTCCACCAGTACTTCCCTCTGCGAGCCTGCAGAATGTCAGCAGGAGGCAGAGCTGCCCCTTGAGGTCCTTTTTTGTTTTTTGCTGAACCCATGCAATCCTGTGTCCCCTCTGCGCAGCCTCACCTTTGGGGAAGGGTGTCTGTCCCAGGTGTGTGCTTCTAAAAACCCTCATCCATGCACCTGCCTCCTCCCCTCCTCCTCTCTTCCTCCTCCCAGCCTGGCCCTCTCCAAGCAGCAAGAGCCCCCATGTCTCTTTTTCATTCATTTTATTGCAGGGATAACTAAATCGGTTTCAAAAAGGAAAAGTCAAGGGGCTGAACAGCAGTACAGTGGGTATTGCACACCGCAGATCCCCGGCATCACATATGGTTTCCCCAAGCACCGCCAGGAGTAATTCTGGAGTGCACAGCCAGAAGAGAGCCCTGAGCACATTCAGGGATGGTCAGAAGCAAAAATGTCAAGGCTGGGCTGACCCGGCACCCACATGGCACCACCAAGAGTGATCCCTGAGTGCAGAGCCAGGAGAAATCCCTGAGCACCCCTGGGTATGGCAAAAAAAAAAAAAACAGAGTCGGGGGGGGGGAGAAAAAAGAAAAGCCAAGAGTCAAAATTGAAAGGGAAGTCAAACTCAGACCGGAAGTCCAAAGGAAGAAATGCTCAGGTCCTGCAGGGAATCCCCCTCTCCCCGACCCCTCAGCCCTGTGTAGCCACCAAATCTGACCTGGAGGTCACACCCACCACCAGCAGTGCAGTCCATCCCAAGAGAGCAAGACATGGATATTTCCCCCACCCTGCACACAGGGCCCCTCAATTCCTGACCCCCCAAAACGTGAATACCCCTGTTCCTCCCCTGTGGTCCAACACTCCACCTGGCCCTGCACTCACCTGGGCACAGCCACCTCCGCTGCCACCTTCACGTATGGTGTGGACCGTGTTCCTGACAGGTCAGCTGGGACCCGGGTCTGAAAAGAGCCACAAAATGTGCCTCTTCCCAGAGACCAGCCCGACTCAGACCTGGAGGCTCACCAGGGAGAGGTGAGGCCAGACGCTGTGCCACCACCTGCTTGGACAGGTGACCCCAGAAAATGTGTCCGGCTTGGCACGGGTGCCAGGAGACTCCAGTCTGAGCCAT